ATCCTGTAAAGACGTTTTCCAGAGGTCTGCCAATGCTATATGTTAGCATTGGCTAATTCTTATTCCGGGTCCTCCCCCATCGGCCCGGGGTGGTATTGCAGCATGTCAGCGCACATAATATTGGCCACTTTTGAGCCGGGACCCGCCCCCACTGGTCTGGACATGCCTTTCACAGACCAGAGTCACTAAGCGCTTTACAATTGTGGGCCTTTGTCTCCCACACAGAGACGGGATGTGTATGTTTTTAGTGGTAGGGGAAACCAGTGCACCCGGAGGAAACCTACACAGACACAGGGAGAACATGCAAACTCCACTGAAGGAGTATAGAGTAGAGAGAATAGCCTTAGGTCTGGAGGCAAATGTATTCAGTCTGTGATGATTGGCAGGTCTGTTTTAACGAACTCATGATGTAATATGGTTTTATACGGCAGTCTGAGAACATACGGTGGGGAGTGTATGTATTTACTTTAGCGATGTTTAATGAGTCCAGGATATAGAATTAACTTTCACAAGGAACATTTGTCTCCCCAACTGCAGAGGTCACTAAGGCCCCCATCTTTACTGCTACTACAACAAATATGGAGATTTGCACTAGATTAAAATCATAGCGAGCGTATCCATTACAACTCTCACCGACGGCTTTGGGCAGCAGCTGAGGCTGGACTTGGACTGTGTTTTTATTTCTTAACTTATGAGTAATTCAGGATAAATAAATGTATGAAAGATTTCTTGGCAGGTTGAAGACTCTGGGTTTGTTTTTTGCCCCGGTACGCTGCTCTGGCTCCGAAAGCTCTGTTATGTCTTCCATGTTTCAAAACGCAGCTTTTTCAATTGATTTCTGTTCAGTGTGATTCAGGGCAGGCTTATGAACATGGATAGTGCAAATAAACAAACTTGATGCGCTTGGATTTAACGCGTCCAGCTACTATTGCGTCCAGAGACTTCGAAAAAATTGGCTCTGCCGTTGAACACACAAACAATATTTAGCGAGGATAAGGATTGGCGGAGTCTGCTCGGGTTGTTTCGCTCTGTCATAACAAGGGTTTCTTCGTTCTGATAAGGCTGGACTTCATGATGACAGAACAGCTTCACGGAGAAATCGCAGATACGTTTGTCTTTCCTTCACAACAGGCCGTGTCCGGGCGCACTCGCTATCGGGCCGAGCCTCTCACTCACCACGCAGCATCAGCCAAAACGTTACGACCACACTCTCTCCCCCTGACCTCCATGACACCACCTACTTCAAATCCACCCTCAACACTGTTTAGACGAGCCCCTGCTCACTCACAGCATCACACACCACCCTCTGCTCATGCTGGGTAATCCGTGTATTTTTCGTTCAGTGGTTTTCCAAATTAAAATCGAAAATGAATCTAAAAATGGCTTGAAAAACGAAATATTGAATAAAAATCGTTTTGGCGCAACCGGAACTTGGCTGTGTACCATTATTTTTGTCCGGTTGGAAACAGCAGAGAGCAGGAGCGTGCACAGCCAAAGCAAATAATAATAATAATAATTTATATAGCGCTTTTTTGGACACTAAAAGACGCTTTACATGTCATTATTCTTTCACTCCATACACGGTGGTGATAAACTACTGTAGCTACAGCTGCCCTGGGGCACACTGACAGAAGCGAGGCAACCAGTGTGCGCCATCGGCCCCTCCGACCACCACCAACCACACACCAAACTCATTCTAGGCAATGGAGGTGAAGTGTCTTGCCTAAGAACACAACGGCAGTTTGGCACTTTACAGCCGCCCCACTGTGGCTGGTGTTCCCAGAGGTTAAGTGTCTTGCCAAGGACACAACAACAGCAGACAATGGGAGTCGATGGTGAAAGTCTTGAGCGGGGCTTGAACCCATGACCTTCTGGCTCAAAGGCCAACGCTCTACCAACTGAGCTACTGCCGCCCTAAAAATTGACATTTTACTTTTTTTAATGATTATTGGACTCGTTTTGTGGCTCAACTGTATTTTCCACAGAATCCTGCGCAGCCTTTATGAAAGACCAGAGACAATACTGAGAAGTCATGGATGAACGGTTGTAAACGTGTAATTGTGAGCTCTATAAACTGCTCTTTTATTCTTAATGTGTGTGTGTATGAGTTTACTTAAAGTTCAAATAAAAATAATTAAATATTGCTCATTTGTGTTTTCCTCATCAAAATGAAAAATGAAAATTCAAGCCATTAATTAGCCATACATTTTGTATTTGAACTGTTGATAATTGTCTTTTAATGTCTTTTAAAGGTTCCATATTTCGCTCTTGACTTTTCTCTGCTTTGAACATAATTTCAGCGTCACGAGCTACAGAAGTCGGTGAATCAACAGCTTGAGAAGTCCTTTGAGATCACTGCTGTTTTGAATTTGGGGCTTTACAAAACAAATTATAATTCAATTGATTTGAAATAATGGTGCTCCGTGGATTGGGTGCAGCTCTGACTTCCGCTACACCCCCCCCACCCTTAAAAATGACAATATCTACTCATCTTGACAATCTTAAGGTTGGTTCAAATTTATGAAATGGAAAACCAAAACAAAGTGAAATTGGATAAACATAACTACATGGACACTTCAGTGATACCGGACGGAGAGATTCAGGTTCCAGCAGAAACATATCCATACAAACATACAAATAAAAACATAATTCTAAAAGTTACAAACAATAGTATAAGTGTCCCAGCAGCAGAGGTGGTGTAGCCGCTGGTGATGAGTCTGCTTCCTCTGTTCTGGTTCAGAGTGAAATTCTTCATGTTTTGTTAGCATTCAAAAATGTATATAAAAAAACTATCCTCTCTGCTCTGGTCTGGATCATACACTGTAAATAATAACGGACGTAGTCACACCTATCTCCGCCGTTCTAACTAATGCGCCACAACTTCTGCGGTCTATGGGCAGTTTCAAAATGGCCGCGGGGGCTGAAAAATGTGAAAAAATGCATCTGCGTCAGCTACAACAGCCCCATTCATTTAAACAAGTGACTTCAAAAGTCCACAGCGACTAAACTAGACTGGTCCAAAACACCCCCCTCAGCATTGACACACATGTGGAACGGAGCTTTGGGCCAAGAGACACTTTTGGACCATCCTGTAAAGACGTTTTTGAGAGGTAAGAAGATGCTATATGTTAGCATTGGCTAATTCTTGTTCTGGGTCCACCCCCACAGGCCCGGGGTGGTATTGCAGCATGTCAGCGCACGTCATTTTGGCCACTTTTGAGCCGGGACCCGTCCTCACTGGTCTGGATCAGTGTGAAACCATAATCATTTACAGACAGAAAAAAAAAAAGACAAATAGCAATTGCAAACAACAACAACTGTTTCAGAGCGACATCGGACTCGCTGCTCTTTCCAGAATATTTCAAAATATGAATGACTAAATCACATCCACCTCAAGGTCATAACATAAATGTGAAGATTATGACTTTGGGAAATGGTTTCTTCTGATTTGCAGTTTGACGATGTGGTCGCCGTCGAAAACATTTGAAAAGTCCGAGTGCGGTGAAGACAGCTGCATTCCTGAAACCTGGCCATCTGTAGCTCGCCATTTATTTGGAGTTCTGCAACAACGGAGAGCCCCAAACGTGAACTTTTACTGACGCGGGATCATTAAGTGACTCAACATGTCTCCTTTACCTCAAACCCACAAACACGCTTCCACTGATCTGGTCCATAACTTTATACGGAGGAAGAGGAAGAAGAAGAGTTTGTCGAGCGGTTCTGGATGAAGTGAGAGAAAATGAAACAAAGCAGGAATAGAACACATACTGTACTTGATATTTCTCTCTAAAAGTAAAATCCTTGTCAAACTGGTCTGTAGTTTTTTACCCACAGACTGTGTAACACCGCAGAACAAATACCCATTTAAGAGTAATTAGCTCCAGCTAGCTTATGATCAAATCGGCTTCTTCTGCATTAAGGCTAACACTTTGGGTCAGAACTCGATTTGTCCACTTCTAGTTTATCCAAATCTGAGCTCAAGAGATTTCACACATTTCGCCCTTTATTTTCTTATACAAAGTAAAAAACAGAGGAAGGTTTCTTACCCGTCATCTTCTTAGCAGGTTTTCCAGATGTTTTGTTCTGAATCCAAACTTTTCTAACCTGTGCATTTAGACACCCCCCGGATCCTGAGGCTAACTCATCTAAGGTCTGTCAAGATGTGGAAGGGAGCAGGTCTAACGATCCTGCCAGGGCTAACGATCCTATCTCATTAGCACATCACTGACCTTATCTATAGTTAGAGCGATGTTTTTAGGACGTTGTCATAGATACCAGGCAAAACAAATCTTAACCCCCCTTAACCAATTTTTGTCTCGAGCCAGAATTTGAACCTCTGTGTCGTTCACGGTGTGGTTGGTGGCCTTGAGGTGGAGACGAACAGCTGATTTTGGCCGGTGTATTTGGCCCGCGGCCCACTGGCAATTTTTTCTTTGGCCCTTGGAGGCAAAAAGTTTGGGCACCCCTGCACTAGAGCTTTCTCTACGATGTTGGTAAAGTCGTTTAGTTTGTTTAGTTTCTTCAAAATAGTGGTCAGTGCACTCCTCTTCACTACATTTTGTTGATTACACCACATTGCTCTGTGTGTGTCTTTGGGATGCATCTATTTCTGTCTTAAAGGTCAGTGGTGTTGTTAGCTTAGCCGTCGCACTAACATGAAACCACCCCTCTCCACCGAACCAAACATCCAGCATTTTCTTTTCTTTGTCACAACAGGGAGAGTGGAGCAAACGTGAAATTGGCATTTTCTGTTCAGCCATTTTAGGTTTTAGAAATCGGATAACTCAGATGTACTCGCGAGAAAACAGGAAGAGGGTGAAGGCGGTAAACGCATCCCATTGGTTAATTTTTGTCGGCCTGCTCCAAAATATGTGTGGCTCTGGGAATCTGAGGACCTCACGTTCCCAGAGAGAGGCGTCGGGAGGTCCTCAGATTCCCAGAGCCACACATATTTTGGAGCAGGCCGACAAAAATTAACCAATGGGATGCGTTTACCGCCTTCACCCTCTTCCTGTTTCTCGCGAGTACATCTGAGTTATCCGACGCCTCTCTCTGGGAACGTGAGGTCCTCCCGACGCGAACGTGAGGTCATCCCGACGCCTCTCTCTGTGAACGTGAGGTCCTCCGACGCCTCTCTCCGTCATCCCGACGCCTCTCTCTGGGAACGTGAGGTCATCCCGCCTCTCTCTGTGACGTGAGGTCCTCCCGACGCCTCTCTCTGGGAACGTGAGGTCATCCCGACGCCTCTCTCTGGAACGTGAGGTCATCCGACACCTCTCCTGAACGTGAGGTCCTCCCGACGCCTCTCTCTGGGAACGTGAGGTCATCCGACGCCTCCTGTGAACGTGACGCTCTCTCTGACGTGTCATCTGACTGGAACGTGAGGTCCCACGCCTCTCTCTGAACTTGAGGTCATCCGACGCCTCTCTCTGGGAACGTGAGGTCCTCCCGACGCCTCTCTCTGTGAACGTGAGGTCCTCCCGACGCCTCTCTCTGGGAACGTGAGGTCCTCCCAACGCCTCTCTCTGAACTTGAGGTCATCCCGACGCCTCTCTCTGGGAACGTGAGGTCCTCCCGACGCCTCTCTCTGTGAACGTGAGGTCATCCTGACGCCTCTCTCTGGGAACGTGAGGTCCTCCCAACGCCTCTCTCTGAACTTGAGGTCATCCCGACGCCTCTCTCTGGGAACGTGAGGTCCTCCCGACGCCTCTCTCTGTGAACGTGAGGTCCTCCCGACGCCTCTCTCTGGGAACGTGAGGTCCTCCCGACGCCTCTCTCTGGGAACGTGAGGTCCTCCCAACGCCTCTCTCTGAACTTGAGGTCATCCCGACGCCTCTCTCTGGGAACGTGAGGTCCTCCCGACGCCTCTCTCTGTGAACGTGAGGTCATCCTGACGCCTCTCTCTGGGAACGTGAGGTCCTCCCAACGCCTCTCTCTGAACTTGAGGTCATCCCGACGCCTCTCTCTGGGAACGTGAGGTCCTCCCGACGCCTCTCTCTGTGAACGTGAGGTCCTCCCGACGCCTCTCTCTGGGAACGTGAGGTCCTCCCGACGCCTCTCTCTGTGAACGTGAGGTGAGAACGTACAGACGAGACGAGACTCACACGACACCAGCAGGAAACATGGCTCTACACTTGGCAAATATGAGCTGATACATGCTTAAATCAACTGTTTTTAATCTTAATCATGGTAAATTCTGACTGTTTTAACCCTTTAACATTCACTCCTTGAAGAAAACAAATAATTTAGTTTTACGTTTTCCTTTATTCTTTTCAACCCCCTTTTATTTTATTTTAGGCCTTTACCAAATGAATGAGATTGATGGATAAAACCATGTGACTGTGTAGTTGTCAGGACTTATTATTCTGAGACACAGACAGTTTCATTGACAGGAAGACTTGCTTTTGAGAAATTGAATGATGTGAGAAATGCACCAAAGCCACTGAGAAAAACTGTAAATGAACGATAAAGAAGCAAGTATAAAATCTCACACGCAAAATCCCTGTGTATTTCAAACTTTCAAACCGTTAAAGATGCAGTGGGAGATTTTTCCGGACGCATTTTTTTAAATATTGTGGAAAATGTCCCTAAACCCTAAAAGTATCAAGTTTTCATGTGTTTTCAAATAGTAATGGAATTGACCAGATGTCTATAGTCTACAAGAATTAATAAAAAATAATTTGGAGCGGACCGATAAAAATGAACCAATGGGATTCGTTCATCCCCAACGAACCAATGGGATGTGTTCACCCCCTTCACCCTCTTCCTGTTTCTCTAGAGTGCACCGGAGTTATCGGATTTTCGAAATCCTAAAATGGCTGATCAGAAAATGCCAATTTCACGTTTGCTCCACTCTCCCTGTTGTGACAAAGAAAAGAAAATGCTGGATGTTTGGTTTGGTGGAGAGGGAGGGGAGGGGGGAGGGGGGAGTGGTTTCATGTTGTTGCTAACGGCTAAGCTAACAACATTGGGTACTGCACCTTTAAGACAAGTGGTTTTTTTTATCTTAATCTGGTTAACCCTTTAACATTCACTTCTTTAAAGAAAACAATGTAATGTTTTTCTGATTTGGGTTTTCTACGCTAAATAATTTGGTGTGACGTTTTTCTACATGATTTTCAACCCCTATTTATTTTATTTTAGGCCTTTACCAAATGGTGGATGGTTAAAGTGCCTAAAACTAAATGTTAGCAAGATGTTAGCAAGCACGACTCGTCCACCTGTTAGCAATCGCTCTGTCTCACATGTGATTGAAACAAGAAGCTGTATTTGTGAAGAATCAAACGCAGAAGAAGAAGAAGAAGGTGGAGGAAGCACGCTGTAAAAAACACACACATGCACAAAACCACACACACACACGCACAAAACCACATTATCTTCACAAGTAAGAATTTTGCGTTTATAAAAAATTCCTTGTTTGGTTGTGAACAGTGTTGGGTGTAACGCGTTACTAAGTAACGCGTTACTGTAACGAAATTACAATTTGAGTAACGTAGTAGTGTAACGCGTTATTATGAAAATACGTTTCATTATATTACAGTTACTACCTAAATACTTCGTTACCGGCGGCACCGGCCTCGGGAAAGCAGGGGAGAACTGCACTACCGCTCCATGCGTGCCTGCGTGCTTACGTCACGCTGCGCACATGAGCGAGATTGTTTGTAAAGCAACATGGCAGAGTCAGAGGAGAAGAGTTCTTTTTACCGGTGGAGATATGCACACTATTTCAACTACATCAGTCAAAAAGATAAAAACGTTGTCGTGGAGTGCAAGCTTTGCGCGGGCAGCAAGCGATTGTCCACCGCAGCCAACTCATCCTCGAACCTTTTAAAACACTTGCAGCGTCAACACTCAACTGTTAAGCTAGTCGCTAAAGAGCGTCGCAGCGAAGCCGCCGCCGCCTCCTCCTCCTCCTCCTCCTCCTCCGACAGCACAACACCAACTAACTCCAAGAAGGAATAGGTTGTCAGCTAAACGATTTGAGAAACTATTGCTACTCAGGTACAACCATTACTTTGAAAAACAACAACATTAGAGTTAGTTGTTAAACAGTTAAACTGTTACTTTCTGCACTTTTGATATGTTAAAATGAAACTCAGGTTGTTGTTGTTTAAATAGTTATATTTTATTATTTAAAAATGTTTTTTTTGCACTACCAGCCAGTAGTCTTGATGACTAAACTGCCTTAATTTAATTGTCCTGGCTGCTATAGTAATTTACTTTCGTTAATGTTATGCCATTTGAGCCAGTTTTGATTTGTTGTTGACCTTTATTTAAATGGCTTTAATAAAGCAAACATACAAACTTGATTCTGTTCTCTTTTTTGTGACACGAAGTAATCCAAAAGTAATGTAACTTAGTTACTTTCTTGGGGCTGTAACTAAGTAATGTAACTAATTACTTTTTTTAGAAGTAACTAGTAATTTGTAACTAATTACATTTTCAAAGTAACTTACCCAACACTGGTTGTGAATGATTTGAGAATCCTAACGAGACCTTTTTTTTAGCGCCACAAGGTTTACCTGTGGTTTACTCACTTCACCAGTGAGATTAGCTCCACTCGGTGAGTTCTGGTGCCCGGATCACAGACTTTCTGATTGGTGAAACAGTGGAGGGCGGGACATCGAAATGAAAACAATAACAAGATTTAGGGCCCTTTAATTATGACAGATTAGGGCCCTTTAATGATGACAGATTTGGGCCCTTTAATGATGACAGATTTGTTTCCTTTAATGATGACAGATTAGGGCCCTTTAATGATGACAGATTAGGGCTCTTTAATGATGACAGATTAGGGCCCTTTAATGGTGACAGATTAGGGCCCTTTAATGACAGATTAGGGCCCTTTAATGATTACAGATTAGGGCCCTTTAATGATGACAGATTAGGGCCCTTTAATGACAGATTAATGACGGATTTGGGCCCTTTAATGATGACAGATTAGGGCCCTTTAATGACGGATTAGGGCCCTTTAATGACAGATTACGGCCCTTTAATGATGACTGGACATGAAAATCTCACACATTTCTACTTTAACTTTTCTCCGCGTTACTTTCACAGGGAACAAATATCTGGTCTTTTCTTGAATGAATGAGACTTTTAAGAGACGTGACGGACAGATACAGAGCGGAGATTTACTGCCAACTTGGGGCCCCTGTCTGTAAATGATAGATGGGAGGACAGGAAACATCGGAAAGGACGTATAAAAAGTGAAATAAACCAAACTCATCTAAAGGTCCACTCCTCTGCCAGTGAAAGGCAGGAGTGGGCGGGGCATTCCTCTGGAACAAAAACACTTTGGCCTTGAACTTTTGGCACAAGAGTGTGTAAGAAACCAGTGTCATGTTGGCCACTCCCACATGGTCAGTGATGTCGATGGTTTTTGGTGCTTTGAGAAACACAGAGAGGGCGCTCTCGGAGCCGGGAGGCCTTTTGTTGGGGGTCGCTCTGATACAGTTGTTGTTTTGTGTTTTACAATCTTTATTGTTCTTGCTTTTTTCTATCTGTAAATGTAACTGTGTTGTTGATGGTGTTTGACTGGTCCAGACCAGAGCAGGAGGATGGTCCAAACCAAGAGGATCAAGCAGAAATCCACTGGAGGAATGCTATAATATTTTATATTTATATTCCATACAAACAAATAGTTTATTTGTTTGTATGGATGGATGTGTTTCTGCGTTTATCCGGAAAACTAATCCACGCCCTTGACTACTGCGACGCTCTCTTGGCAGCATGCCCTAAAACCTCTTTGAAGAGCTTCCAGCTCGTTCAGAATACAGCAGCTAGGATCTTAACAGGTACCAAAAGGAGGGAGCACATAACTCCGGTGTTAAAATCCCTCCACTGGCTCCCTGTGGAGTACAGCATAAAGTTTAAAATCCTTCTCCTGGCATACAAAGCCACAAATGGCTCGGCTCCCTCTTTTCTTCAAGACATGTTAGTGTCTTATCAACCAAGCCGAGCGCTGTGCTCGCCAGACGTCTGGTGGTCCCTAAGGTTTCAAAAAGCACTGTTAAGGAAGCAGACACTGTCTCTACGTTTAAGGCCAGGCTCAAAACTTCAACTTAGCATTTGGTTAGGTTGTTTGTCCGGTCAGGTCTCGTCCGGTCTTGGAGTCTGCGTATGTGGGACCTGGTCCGCTGCATCTTCAACCCTATGTTCTAGGCTAGGCTATAAAAGTCCTCTTTAGTTTAGCATATGGCTAGAAAGGTAAGACTCAGGGAAGGCTAAACTCCTCAGACTGTCAGTCAAGCTGCATAGGGAGCCCCCTGCTGGAGAAGTATGGTAACTTGAGCACTATCCTCTCCTCCTTCCTACTCTATCTGTTTAGCATTATTAGGATTTTGACTGTAGTCTGTTCATTGCTATTCACCCGTTGTCCCATTGTCTGTTTCATGGTACGATGACGGACCTCTGGACCTGGCCTCCTCCATCTACACCTGCGGACTGCCCTGCCCGACCCGCCTAGGAGTGCTTCAGTTCTGCACTGGACCTATCCACGCTCAGCGGCCACTGGTCCATGTTCTGTAGCTTAGGTCCTGGATCTACAGCCTCAGTCCTGGTTCTACAGCCTCAGTCCTGGTTCTACAGCCTAAGTCCTGGTTCTACAGCCTCAGTCCTGGTTCTACAGCCTCAGTCCTGGTTCTACAGCCTAAGTCCTGGTTCTATAGCCTCAGTCCTGGTTCTACAGTCTGAGTCCTGGATCTACAGCCTGAGTCCTGGATCTACAGCCTCAGTCCTGGTTCTACAGCCTCAGTCCTGGTTCTACAGTCTGAGTCCTGGATCTACAGCCTGAGTCCTGGATCTACAGCCTCAGTCCTGGTTCTACAGCCTCAGTCCTGGTTCTACAGTCTGAGTCCTGGATCTACAGCCTCAGTCCTCGGCCCTTGCCGATACAGAGTCTGTTGGGCAGTTAGTGTCTAACAATAAGGACTGTGGTGATCCAGGACACTTTAACATTCTACATGTTTGACATGTATCAACATTCATGGACATTGGTCTCTCCTGTGGACCAGTACATACAGAATGTGGTCTATATTTTCTATGTTTTAACTGTTGATT